TTAATTTTTCCACGACATTCTAATTTATTGAGATGCACCTGTATGCTATCGCTGCAGTAGCTGAATAAAATGCAGATAGGACGTTTTAACTGATGAAGAATGAAGACACAATTTCTTAATTTTTGTCAGGAAATGTTATGCATCCACTGAGAGAGACAGAGAGAAAACTCCTCTACACTGGAGAAAAACTTAGAAGTATTATTTTTCCTATTTTTACCCAAAATAAGGTGTAGTAAGTAGCTGTAGCTGTTTCATTCATACTGGTAGCCGGAGGGCGCCCTCGTACAGTAAAACCATAAGTGAAAAAATCACAAAAATCACGTTGGAGGAAATCCCTAATATGGACAAAAGCATATGCTATCGCTGCAGTAGCTGAACAAAACGCAGATAGGACGTTTTAACTGATAAAGAATGAAGACAATAAACACACGATTGTGACTAAATGGTGTATCTGTGTTCTTCAAGCCATCACGGGTATTTTTTATATTCATAATGTATATTTATAATGCAGTGCTAATCGACATAGCCTTTATCACTGTATAGAATATTATAAAATGATTTTGCCTCATTCTGTAATATGAAACCACGTCAGATCACAAAAGGAAGTTATTTCAAACACTCGACTGATGTTATGAAATGAATTTAGAGCAAAACGTCATTAAATGTTTTTAAACGCACTGTACAGCCCTGGTGCGTCATCTGTATGTGTGTTGACTTAAAGGGGCGCCGCAGATCGATAAGTGTTTGGCATCAAAGTACTGCAATAGGATAGGAAAGCATGCAGAGCTGTCCATTAGTATATAGCTCTCGCAGTACTTCGATGTGAAACACCGATCTGTCTGCACCGCGCCGCTTCAAGTCGAACACACCATTAATGTAACCATTTTAAAGAAAAAAGGTTGTTTTGTTATAGCTTTTAGAGCAAGGGCGCAGCCATCTTGCAGTACCACCGCGTGTGACGTCACGGAGTTGGTTCGCTCCGATGGCCAGTGAAGTAGAAGCATTTCATCTCTTTGAATGCAAATGAGCTGCTGCTCCCCGCCCCCTTTTCCAGAATAGAGCTGCGCCATAGACTTGTTCGTTGTCGCGTCATAGCTGTGTGGGTGGAGTTGGCGTGGGGGAAAACAGTCCTTTCCCCCTCTTTGGAAAAGCATGTTGTTGACTCAGAATGGCCTACATAAAATAATTTCTGCCGCTCGACAGAGCAACATACGCATAAAAACTGAGCCGTATTAGGTCGGACTGTCCGTACGGTATATGTGACTGGACAAACGACCCAACGGAATGGCCAGAGGTGTCGTTTCCCGACATTTTTTGTTACCTAATTGAGCAACGCTTGCAGACAAAGGCTTACCAAAACAAAGTTACTGGGTTAATCTTTTTCCCGTTTCCTTGGTTGTTAGATGCACCGGGGACCTGATTATAGCACTTCAAACCTGGAAATGTCACATTTTCATGATATGCCACCTTTAAGTAAAAAGACGGGTTTCATGTGTAGGCCCTAGTTAATAGATTACACTATTATGCTACTTTGCCCATCGCCCATTAGCTTATAGATCAACTAACATAATCTATAAAGGTGCAAAATGCATTTACTTACACATATTTGAGAATCGAGATATTTCATGATATAGTTAACACGTTTGGTAATATTTCGAATAAAAAAGGAACACAGTTTCAACGGAGGGGGGCCTTTGATCGATCCTTGCCCAGGGCACCGCTGCGTCATAATCTGTCCCTGCACCTCGGTGTCGGACAAACAAAAGAAGTGAGGAATATTTAACAGCAGCAGTCACAGTGATGATGAGGCGAGCACCAGTGAAGTGATCTCGTTTCTCACGCCCGCTCCGTGTGTCTGCTGGGTGGCGATCAAACGGACAGGGCAGTGCTTTTCACGAGCGGAGATCGCTACTAGACGAATCATGTAATTTGTTATTTTTATTATCTCTGTTCTCTTTTGTCGTAAGTTATGCTATTACTCCAGTAATTTATACTAGCCTATCCAGCGCTCCCTGAACGCAGTCTCTGGTTTATTGCCAGTCAAGCGCAACGCTGCAGGGACGCGCCTAACGACTTTGATCTAATCATAAAGTCTTTCTGAGTCACAGGGCTCAAGTCCAAGTCAAGTCTCGAGTCATTGCTGTCAAAGTCTAAGTCGAGTCTCGAGTCTTCTTTAATTATTTCGAGTCGAGTCGCAAGTCATCAAATTTGGGACTCGAGTCCGAGTCAAGTCTCGAGTCAAGTGACTCGAGTCCACACCTCTGGAAGTAGTTGCATTGAAGTGTTTTCACAATCACATAGTATTGATGTTAGTAAATATACAGAACTATCTCCATTGCGTTTTGTAGGTCAGTGTTTATACTGACCAAGTCCAATGTGTGTTAGATTTCTGAAGTTTAAAAAAAAAAAAATTGTAATCATTGAATTCTCATTAAAGCTGAGGCCATTTTTTCCCCTCTGGGAAAAAAAACAGAAAAACAAAAACAAAACAGAAAAAAGCTTCCAAATTAAAAAGATGGATCCTCATAAAATATTTTGAAATTTTCCATGCTAAAATATATTATATATAAGCTTGTTTCCCGCCAAAAGGAAAAAAAAAATAAATAGATGCATATATAAATAAGGTAATTTTGACTTTCTATCTCACAATTCTGACATTTTTTCTTGCAATTCTGAGAACAAAGTCAGAATTAGTATATATAAATTCAGAGACAATTCTGTTCTTTGGTTTCTGCCACAGAATTTTTTTTTAAAAGATAATTGCTTTTATAATAGATGGATAATAGATAAAGCTTTTATCTCACACTTCTGTTTTTTTCACTATTGCAAATTTATATCTCACACCATTCCAACTTTTCTTCACAATAATTGCGAGTTTATATTTTGCAAGTCTAATTTTATATCTCGCAATTGTGAGAAAAAAAAATCTGAATTGTGAGATAAAAAGTCACAATTACGTTTTTTATTTTGTTTTATTCTTTGTCAGAAAAGGGCTTCCATAATTTACTCTGTACAAGTAAATGAAAATGTAATTGTTAAACAATATTTTAATTTGTTTTTTTTTATATTAAAAAGTGTTGGACTAATAAAATTGACCATGACTTTTTACTTTTTTACTTTTTTTTACATTACAAAATTGCAAAAAATAAATTTTTGTAATTATAAATTTTATTATATTTGATAATAAATACAATTATACAACTTTTACATAATTTTTCAATAGTTTTCTGGTATGGTTTGTTTACTTATACAGGTTGTTGTCTGCACATTCAACTGGGATAGAATAAAGTATTTTAACGTGTTATCTTTGAAATGCATTGTTCTGTTGTTCTTCACTCTATCCAGTACTATTTTTAAATCAAATGTTCAAAAATCTATGTTTCAGCCTACTGGTTTTCTTGTACAGAGGTCTGTTGGGTGTTGTAATGTTTGGTTGATATGTAAATGTGTTCATGTTCTCTTTGTTAGTCTGCCAGCTGCTCTTCTCCAGGTGTAATGGTGGTCATTGATGCAATGCAACGTGTAGGAGGCTGTTGTTTCGTTACTGAGAGTATTAGCAAGCCTACACGCAGACACTTTAATGCATGAAACACAAATTTTCTGTATTTATACTTCACACTCAGCCTCTGCCTCTCAGCCTTGACTGAATGCATCAGTGATGTACAATGCTATTCCATTATCACTGGTGCCATATGGATTTACAAGTATAATGAGTGAGTGCAACCCATGTAGCTAGAAATCACACCTAAAGAAAAAGGCACAGAAAAAAAAGAGTCTCTTCACTAATCAAAAGAGAAAATATAAGAAATTATGCTTTGCTTAAAGAAAATGAAGCCTATTTTTAGGACCATTAAGATTTTTGCATGCTGTATTCAGTGTGCATTCAAACCCCTGGTTCTCATTATGAACAGTCTCATGCTTATTTTCTTATTAACATAACTTGAAAAAAATTTAATATTGCCATGCTGAATAAATACTTTTCAGTGTAAACAACATTTGTTTTTACTGCCTTGAATTTAATTTAAAATGCTAATAAATGCTGATTTTAATGTTCACTAAGGCTACATTTATTTGATCAAAAATACAGTAAATAAAGTACTATTGTGAAATATTAAATTTTAAGTAGCTGTTTTCTATTTAAATATATTTTAAATTTCCGCAGTCATATTACACCAGTCTTCAGTGTTATATGATTCTTCAGAAATCATTGTAGAAACATTTATTATTATTATTATTATTATTATTGTTGAAAACAGTTGTGCTGCTTAATAATTTTGTGAAAACTGATGCATTTTTTTCGGATTCTATGATCAATAGAAAGTAAAAAAACCAGCATTCATTTAAATAAAAATCTTTTGTGACATTGTAAATGTGTTTGCTGTCAATTTTAATCAATTTAATGCATCCTTGCTAAATAAATAAATTCTTAAAAAAAAAAAAACGTTTGAATGGTAGTGTACAGCATGTTTGCTCTAAATAGTAAAAAAAAAAATAATAATAATTGTAGAAAAGTAACTGAGGGATGAAATGCATTTAAATATCGTAAAAAATAATGCCAAAAATTGCAGTGGTAATAAATGTAAGCTTTGTTTTCTTTATGCAAAATGTTTTGCAAAATATATTTATTTCTTTTGATTTTGGGTGAAACATTTCTTGGCAGGCTTTGTTGAGCTTCACTCTATTCTTGATGAATTTTTTGATTAGCTTATTTTTGTGTTTAGTTTTCTCTGATATCTCTGGGCTTTCCGCAACGTGCACCGTTGCGAAGCGTTACCTTCCAAAACACTCACTAATGCTGGTTGTCAGTCTAAATTGCCATTAATCAGTCTGATAAATTGGCTGTTAACGAAGCAATGTCTGTTTGTTCTAGGCATCATTAGCAGGAACTGCACTACGGAAGACTGGTCCGACGTTTATCCCAGCATCCACAGCGTTTGCTTTGAGCCCACCCCGAATGGAAGCAAGGTGAGTGACTGAATTTATGCAGTCAGATCTTTCTGAGAATTACTTCACAGATACGTCTTGAAAATAGGGCTTTTGATTGTACACAGTGTTTAGGATCATTGTGCTAACCATCCTGAAGGAGCTACGCATGAATGGCAGTGGTAAAGGAAGATATTTTGTCTGAAAGGCACTGTTGTTCCCTCCACATGTGCTACAACCACAGAAAAATCACAGTGTGTGGATGCTGAGGGCACTTCAGGACCCTGAACCTTTTAGTGCCCACTATCCAGTCTGAATCTATGCCAGCTGGGACTACCTTTGGGGCAGAGACCGTGTTTGTGTGCATTTGGAAATGCGAGTGCGTGCAGGCATGCATGTGTGTGTTCATGCGTGTGTCCGACAGAGACAAACAGTCATAGAAAGCACTAGAGTTTTAAAAGAACGCGAGCAGCTGGCTCAAGTGTATTTTCATGGGCTTTTAACCAAATTGCTCTCCGTATTATATTTATCAGGATCCTGAATTTAGAGACAAATGATTTTAGATGCGTTTGAAGTTGAAAAGAGTGCGAGAGAGCCAAAAAAAGAAAGAGCAAAATGATAAAAGAATCAGAACATAGAGGTGCTTTTATAGTAGAATATAAAAAAACAAAAAAGAAAGAAAGAAACTATAAATGTCCAGTAACATGTAACGTTTTGTCTTAATACAAAACTAGATTCTCTCGGTTCATGTCATGAAACAGCCAATTGCCTGTGAAATTTACCGTTTCATCCTACGATTGTGCTTTAGAGATTTGAATAATCATGAGCTACTGGAATAGTGGGGATCTCTGAAGGAAGTGATCCATGGCAACGCCAGTGTGGTTGTGGCTAGGAGGGATACAGCTACGGCTAAAAAATAACAATAAATTAAATTTGCTACCAATTAGATTGTGTTTTATTAACATCTACACCTACCCCAACCTTAAACTTAACTTTACAATAATGCAAATACAGTAATTAGTTGTTATTCAGTGTGACAAAAATGACGCAATATTGATGTGCACATGCCCAGCAGGATAATCTGGCCATAGCTGCATCCCTTCTAGCCCTAACCGTGTCAAGACAGACCCCATCATTTGGAGTTCATTGGGGATTCTGGGAAGCTTTGCAAGTGTTCTATATTGGGTGGTTAGATGGCAATGTCTTTAGAGTTGTACCTTGTATTAATTCTCATATTACATGGTCTATAACACTCACCAAACACCAAATGTTAGCACAAATTGGATTGCCAGTTGGCCGGTAACTTAAGAAACTATGACATAAAACATTAATTAACAGTAATTAAATCTAATTGTCAGAATTATAGGCTGACCCCTGCTGATGTACAGTAAGTGTAGTTAGTTATTCAAATCAAACCATGATGTGCGTATTCTAACAAGTTCTAAAAACTATTTTTCTTCAGAACTCAATGTAATGACGTCAAATCACAATGTTCCTCAGATTAAACCTCCAAATTGAAAAATATTAGAAAAACAACACAGATAATATAATTTTGCGAAAAAATATACACTACTGATCAAAAGTTTGCATTAGAAAGGTTTTTTATGGTTTTTAAGCAAGTCTTCTATGCTCACCAAGGCATTTATTTGATCAAAATTGCAGTATAAACTAATATTGTGAAACATTTATTACAATTTAAAATCCCTGTTTTCTATTTTAATGTACAGTATGTTAAAATGTTATTTATTCCTGTGATGACAAATCTGAATTTTCAGCAGTCATTACTCCAGTCACTTGATCCTTCAGAAATCATTCTAATTTGCTGATTTGCTGGTGAAGAAACATTTCTTCTTATTATTATATTATTGTATAATAATCAGATTTTTATCAGGATCTGATATTTGGAACGTTCAAAAGGACTTATTTATTTTACATTTATTCTTAAGCTGTAGCAAGTGAAACACCCGGCAATGTTATGAGGGCATCAGGGGACATCCCATAAACCCAACTCTCCTTACCTTGAAAGGAATGAAAAATGTTTCAAATTTCAAATTTTTCCCATCTAATTTTTGTAAGTCATGAGATTTTTTTAGCTTGTTTTTAGCTTGTACCCATGGCTGGTTTTGACATAAGATTTGTTGCCTAATTAAGTCTTCATGGCATTATTTATAAAATAAATGCTGAATAGATCAGTACTATTTTATAGGGATAGAGAGTCCTGAGAATGCAGGGAATGAGAGGAATGTGTGCAACATTGTATGTTGGAGGCTGTATGGAGAAACTGTCATTTTGACAAAAAGGAAACGTCTCCAACATAATCAGATGAAACCTCCCCAGCATACTAACTTAAACAGCTGTCTGAGGGAAAGAGCAGGATTTAGCACATGAACTAAGTAAGGATTTAAATGCAAATGTTAAGTATCTTATACCCCGTTTAAGTTATTATGATAAATAAATGTCCTATTAAGTATTAAAATGTCCCAGATTAACACGAGTCAGTTGGCAGGAGTTAAAGTTCAGGCAAGGCATTTTGAATGTAAAATTGTACAATTTAATAAATTCTGATGCAGAAATGTCTAGTCTTGGTTATACACCAAAATGACATTAAACTGCACTGGGGGGAATAGTGTATTTCAGACCAAAAAAAAACTTGAAGATGACAGGACTCAAATCTGCTTTAACTCTAGAAAGTTGAAACTAAATCAACTTTTATTAGAGGGATTTTCTATAAAAATATCAGCATGTGTGTTTTATATTCCTTTCTTCTGTCATGAGTGTGTGGTTTTGGGTGTTCATGGACACGCGTCTTCTCCAGCAGCGAGGACAAACGCCTCTTATGGCTGGATAAACAGCTCTCTGAAGCGCAGTGAGTTGTCAGTATGACTTGAGGTGATACAAAGGATCAGAGCAGACATGCTGACACATCGGCCTGCTCTGATTGGCTATATGTTGAAAGGAGATGCGTGCCGTGACTGAAGCAGCCTTGAACTGGTGCAAATCAGCTATAGACACAAAAACAGGATGAGCCAGCATATAAATTGGATTTGAACTGGATTTCATTAAAACCTGTTTGACATCTCCGTAAGCAGAGCAACAGATTTGCTTCACATATACAGTAGCTTGTCCGTTTCCGTGTCAGAGTAACAAAAAGGTAATTTTTTATTTCTTGGAATTTGTGACTTTATATCTCTGTATGTGACTTTATATCTTTCATTTGCAGCTTATTTTCTCATAATTGACTTTATCACAATTATCACAATTTTCATCATTTCAACTTTATATTTCACATTGTGACTTCACTTTATATCTCACAATGACTATTTTCTGTTTTAAAATTTATCTCACCGCCATCACCCTTCCCCCCTTATTTATTTATTTATTTATTTACTTACTTATTTATACTGCTCAAAAGTTTGGAGTCAGAAAGATTTTTTGTAATGTTTTTGAAATAAGTCTGCTATGCTCACCAAGAATGCATTTATTTGATATCAAAAATACAGTATAAACAGTAATATTGTGAAATATTATTACAACTATTTTCTATTTTAATATATTTTAAAATGTAGTTGATTCCTGTGATGAAAGCTGAATTTTCACTTCAGTCTTCAGTGTCACATGATCCTTCAGAAATCATTCTAATATGCTGATTTGGTGCTCAAGAAACATTTCTTATTATTAATAATGTTGAAAACAGTTGTGGTGCTTAATATTTTTGTGGAAATAGTGATACATACTGTAAGTATTGATTTTTGTTGTTGTTGTTGTTGTTGCTTCTATAATTTTATACAATAATATAATGCTTAAAATAAATAAA